CGGTGTTGTGGTACCTGTAGTGGTGCTTTCTGGAGTTGTGGTACCCGTTGTGGTGCTTTCTGTTGTTGTGGTCTCGGTTGTTGTGCTTTCTGGTGTTGTGGTACCTGTTGTTGTGCTTTCTGGTGTTGTTGTACCTGTTGTGGTCTCGGTTGTTGTGCTTTCTGGTGTTGTGGTAACTGTGGTGGTGCTTTCTATAGTTGTGGTTTCTGTTCTTGCGCTTTCTGAAGTTGTAATAACAGGGGTGGTACTTTCTGTTGTAGTGCTTTCTGTTGTTGAACTTTCTGAAGTGGTGATGCCAATGGTTGTACTTTCTGTCATTGTGGTGCTCTCTGGAGTTGTGGTACCAGTTGTGATGCTTTTTGTTGTTGTGGTCTCGGTTGTTGTGCTTTCTGCTGTTGTGGTATCTGTGGTGATGCTTTCTGTTGTTGTAGTGTCTGTTGTGGTGCTTTCTGTAATTGTTGTTTCCATTGTTGTACTTTCTGAAATTGTAGTACCAGGGGTGGTGCTTTCTGTTTTAGAGCTTTCTGTTATTGTGGTCTCTGTAGTGGTACTTTCTGGAGTGGTTGTGCCAGTGGTTGTACTTTCTGTCACTGTGGTGCTTTCTGGAGTCGTGGTACCGGTGGCGGTGCTTTCTCTTGTTGTGGTCTCTGTGGTAGTACTTTCTGTGGTGGTGCCTTCTGTTGTTGTAATCTTAGTTGTGGTGGTACTCTCTATTGTTGTGGTTTCAGTTGTTTCCCCGGGGGTGGTACTTTCTGTTGTTGTGGTCTCCTTTATTGTACTTTCTGGAGTGGTGGTGCCAGTGGTTGTACTTTCTAACACTGTGGTGCTTTCTGGAGATGTGGTACTTGTTGTGGTGGTGCTTTCTGTTGTCGTGCTTTCTGTTGTTGTGGTCTCTGTTGTCATAATTTCTGGAGTGGTTGTGCCAGTGGTTGTACTTTCTGTCACTGTGGTGCTTTCTGGAGTAGTGGTCTCGGATGTTGAGCTTTCAGGTGTTGTGGTACCTTTGGTGGTGCTTTCTGTTGTTGTAGTGTCTGTTGTCGTGCTTTCTGTAGTCGTGGTTTCCATTGTTGTAATTTCTGAAGTTGTAATACCAGTGGTGGTACTTTCTGTTGTAGTGCTTTCTGTTGTTGTGGTCTCTGTTTTTGTGCTTTCTGGTGTTGTGGTACCTGTGGTGGTGCTTTCTATAGTTGTGGTTTCGATTGTTGTGCTTTCTGAAGTTGTAATAACAGGCGTAGTACTTTCTGGAGTTGTGGTGCCTTCTGTTGTTGTGATCTCAGTTGTGGTGCCTGTGGTGGTACTTTCTATTGTTGTGGTCTCCGTTGTTGTGCCGGGGGTGGTACTTTCTGTTGTTGTGGTCTCCATTGTTGTACTTTCTGGAGTGGTGGGGCCAGTGGTTGTACTTTCTGTCATTGTAGTGCCTTCTGTTGTTGTGGTCTCCGTTGTTGTGCTTTCTGTTATTATATAATAGCAAATCATTAATCAAACTTTGTTTAGCACTTTTAATAATAAATCCAGCTCAAAGTGCTTAACAAGAAAAATACCTACAAACAAAATTAAAAATGTTCCACATTTACACTGCAACTTCACACAACAATGGTATCAGTTGTTGTGGTATCACAACAACTGGTATCAGTATACAAAAAATATTTTAAAAAGACTTTTCTTGTGTTTTGAAAATCTGAAAGATTGAAGACTGTCTAATTTAAATTGGTTGACAGTTCCAAATTTTGGGGATATAGTGGCTAAAAGAAGCATCACAGATTCACTTAGGATTTATTGCATAGTTTTCCAAAAGACCAGCATTAGAACATTTTAAATTACGACTTGAAACATAATAACATGAAAATCAATCCTTTCTTGAACTGGCAACCAGTGTAATTGTATTAAAACTATTAATATGGTCTCTCCTTCTTGATTTAATCAGTACTTTGCCCGCTGCATTTTGTATCAATTGTAGCTAAGCTATGGTACATTATACATAACATTACAGTAATCATGATGAGCAAAAATAATAAGTAAAGTTTTTGTCACTTTATTAATATGAGATTTAAAACTCAAATCTTAGTCCATAATCACACCTAGGTTCTTTACTTTTATCTTAGTTTTTAGAATAAAGGTGCATAATCCAGCTTCTATCCTTCCTCTTACATGCTCAGCGCCCTCAATAAGAGTTTCAGTTTTATCTTCAAGCAACAGTGTCTCTGAAATCAGCTGAAATTTATAATTGTATATCATCTGCATAAAATTGCTAATGCATTCCATGTTTCTGAGTTATACTGGCCAGAAGTATAATGTATAATGATAATAAATGTAGCCTAAGAATTTAATCTTTAGGAACACCATGTAGTATTTAATATTTATTTGATACATAGTCACCTATGTTAATAAATTATTACCTTTCTGCAATATATGTCTTGAACCAATTTAGAAGTTTAACCGATTAAGACTGATGCATTGTTCATATTGGTTTTTACCTCAAATTATTTACTACTTTAAATTTGTTTACTTACTTAAAAATTATATGTTAGAAATTGGTCTCAGAATATTACAGAGAAAACAATGCAGAATATTACCGGAGAGACCAATTTCCAGTCAATTAAGCAAAATTAAATGATCATGTGTCAAATGCTTCACTTAGGTCAAAGAGGATTAAGACATGCATTGTTCATATTTTGTTTTATTTCAAATTATTTACTACATTATATTTTACATTTAATTAACTATATTAATTAAAGACATAGTCATTTAAACAACATACTTCAGGTATAGGGTCAAAATAGGAATATCACTGCGAAACAGTTTGCAAAAGTTTCTGTTCATTAGCTCTCCTGAACACTTCTATTTTATGCTGTGGATATATGATTCTTCTTGATTCTACTATAGAAATTGTATCAGTATAATGTACAGAAGACTTGATTTGTTTTATTATTATTATTCTTTATTTTTATTCAATATGCAGCAAAATGTTCACACATGGTTACAGAAGGATGATTTAACAAATTATGAGATTCGTTATTTAAAATAGCATAAATAGTTGAAAAAAGCACTCTGGGATTATTATTATTTCCACTAATACATTATTTATTTATTTATTTTAAAAACAAAATGGTATTTTAGAGTGCACTGTTTTTTATATATACCTGAATGTTATTTATTAGAATCTCACGATGACCTAACATGTGCGTTTATTCCTTAAGAGCAATTTATTAAATATGGATCTTATTTGAAATTTCTCTCAAACCATTTTATACAGAAAATGTTTTTAAAAGATTTTAAAACTATAAACCTTTTGTAGAAATTTCTGTTGTTGTCTCAGTTGTTGTGCTTTCTGTTGTTGTTGTGCTTTCTCTAGTTGTGGTTTCCATTGTTGTACTTTCTGAAGTTGTGATACCAGGGGTAGTACTTTCTGTTGTAGTGCTTTCTGTTGTTGTGGTCTCTATTGTTGTACTTTCTGGAGTGGTTGTGCCAGTGGTTGTACTTTCTGTTGCTGTGGTGCTTTCTGGAGTTGTGGTACCCGTTGTGGTGCTTTCTGTTGTTGTGGTCTCGGTTGTTGTGCTTTCTGGTGTTGTGGTACCTGTGGTGGTGCTTTCTGTTGTTGTAGTGTCTGTTGTGGTGCTTTCTATAGTTGTGATGTCCATTGTTGTACTTTCTGAAGTTGTAATACCAGGGGTGGTACTTTCTGTTGTAGTGCTTTCTGTTGTTGTGGTCTCTGTTGTGGTCTCGGCCGTTGTGCTTTCTGGTGTTGTTGTACTTGTGGAAGTGCTTTCCGGTGTTATGGTACCTGTGGTGGTGCTTTCTGTTGTTGTAGTGTCTGTTGTGGTCTCGGTTGTTGTGCTTTCTGAAGTTGTAATACCAGTGGTGGTATTTTCTGTTTCAGTGCTCTCTGTTGTTGTGGTCTCTGTTGTCATACTTTCTGAAGTGCTTGTGCCAGTGGTTGTACTTTCTGTCATTGTGGTGCTTTCTGGAGTTGTGGTACCGGTTGTGGTGCTTTCTGTTGTTGTGATACCTGTGGTGGTGCTTTCTGCTGTTGTAGTGTCTGTTGTGGTCTCGGTTGTTGTGCTTTCTGGTGTTGTAGTGTCTGTTGTGGTGCTTTCTGTTGTTGTGGTCTCTGTTGTTGTACTTTCTGAAGTGGTGGTGCCAGTTTTTGTACTTTCTGTCATTGTGGTGCTTTCAGGAGTTGTTGTACCGGTTGTGGTGCTTTCTGTTGTTGTGGTCTCTGTTGTGGTGCTTTTTGGTGTTGTGGTACCTGTGGTGGTGCTTTCTGGTGTTGCGGTACCTGTGGTAGTGCTTTCTGTTGTTGTAGTGTGGGTTGGGGTGCTTTCCCTAGTTGTGGTTTCCATTGTTGTACTTTCGGAAGTTGAAATACCAGGGGTCGTACTTTCTGCTGTAGAGCTTTCTGTTGTTGTGGTCTCTGTTGTTGTACTTTCTGGAGTGGTTGAGCCAGTGGTTGTACTTTCTGTCGCTCTGGTGCTTTCTGGAGTTGTGGTACCGGTTGTGGTGCTTTCTGTTGTGGTCTCGGTCGTTTTGCTTTCCTGTGGTCTCTGTTGTAGTGCTTTCTGGTGTTGTGGTACCTGTGGTCGTGCTTTCAGTTGTTGTGGTGTCTGTTGTGGTGCTTTCTGTAATTGTGGTTCCCATTGTTGTACTTTTTGAAGTTGTAATACCAGGGGTTGTACTTTCTGCTGTAGTGCTTTCTGTTATTTTGGTCTCTTTTGTTGTACTTTCTGAAGAGGTGGTGCCAGTGGTTGTACTTTCTGTCATTGTGGTGCTTTCTGGAGTTGGGGTGCTTTCTGTTGTTGTGGTACCTGAGGTGGGGCTTTCTGTTGTAGTGTCTGTTGTGGTTTCCATTGTTGTACTTTCTGAAGAGGTGGTGCCAGTGGTTGTACTTTCTGTCATTGTGGTGCTTTCTGGAGTTGGGGTGCTTTCTGTTGTTGTGGTACCTGAGGTGGGGCTTTCTGTTGTAGTGTCTGTTGTGGTTTCCATTGTTGTACTTTCTGAAGTTGTAATACCAGTGGTGGTACTTTCTGTTGTAGTGCTTTCATTTGTTGTGGTTTCTGTTGTTGTACTTTCTGGAGTGGTTGTGCCAGTGGTTGTACTTTCTGTCAATGTGGTGCTTTCTGGAGTTCTGGTACCGGTTGTGGTGCTTTCTGTTGTTGTGGTCTCTGTTGTTGTGCTTGCTGGTGTTGTGGTACCTGTGGTGGTGCTTTCTGGAGATGTGTTAGCTGTGGTGGTGCTACCTGTTGTTGTAGTGTCTGTTGTGGTCTCAATTGTTGTGCTTTCTAGTGTTGTGGTACCTGTAGTGGTGCTTTCTGGTGTTGTGGTACCTTTGGTGGTGCTTTCTGTTGTTGTAGTGTATGTTGTGGTTTCCATTGTTGTACTTTCTGAACTTGTAATTCCAATGGTGGTACTTTCTGTTGTAGTGCTTTCTGTTGTTGTGGTCTCTGTTGTTGTACTTTCTGAACTTGTAATTCCAATGGTGGTACTTTCTGTTGTAGTGCTTTCTGTGTTGTGCCAGTGGTTGTACTTTCTGTCATTGTGGTGCTTTCTGGAGTTGTGGTACCCGTTGTGGTGCTTTCTGTTGTTTTGGTCTCGGTTGTTGTGCTTTCTGGTGCTGTGGTGCCTGTGGTGGTGCTTTCTGGAGTTGTGGTACCGGTTGTGGTGCTTTCTGTAGTGGTCTCGGTTGTTGTGCTTTCCGGAGTTGTGGTACCGGTTGTGGTGCTTTCTGTTGTCGTGGTCTCTGTTTTGGTCTCAGTTGTGGTGCTTTCGGATGTTGTGGTACCTGTGGTGGTGCTTTCTGTTGTTGTAGTGCCTGTTGTGGTGCTTTCTGTAGTTGTGCTTTCCATTGTTTTACTTTCTGAAGTTGTAATACTAGGGGTGTTACTTTCTGTTGTGGTGCTTTCTGTTGTTGTACTTTCTGAAGTGTTGGTGCCAGTGGTTGTACTTTCTGTCATTTTTGTGCTTTCTGGTGTTGTGGTACCTGTGGTGGTGCTTTCTGTTGTTGTAGTGTCTGTTGGGGTACTTTCTGTAGTTGTGGTTTCCATTATTGTACTTTCTGAAGTTGTAATACCAGGGGTTTTGCTTTCAGTTGTAGTGCTTTCTGTTGTTGTGGTGTCTGCTGTTAAACCTTCTGGAGTGGTTATGCCAATGGTTGTACTTTCTGTCATTGTGGTGCTTTTGGGAATTGTGGTACCCGTGGTGATGCTTTCTGTTGTGATATCAGTTGTGGTACCTGTGGTGGTACTTTGTATTGTTTTGGTCTCGGTTGTTGTCCCGGGAGTGGTACTTTCTGTTGTTGTTGTTGTTTCCGGTGTTGTGCTTTCTGGAGTGGTTGTGCCAGTGGTTGTAATTTTTGTCACTGTGGTGCTTTCTGGAGTTGTGTTATTGGTTGTGGTGCTTTCTGTTGTTGTGGTTTCTGTTGTTATACTTTCTGTAGTGGTGATGCCTTCTGTTATTGTGTTCTCTGTTGTGGTGGTACGTTCTATTGTTGTGGCCTCGGTTGTTGTGCTGGGGGTGATTCTTTCTGTTTTTGTGGTCTCCATTGTTGTGCTTTCTGGAATAGTGGGGCCAGTGGTGATACTTTCTATTCTTGTGTTTTCAGTTGTTGTGCTTTCTGGTGTTGTGGTACCTATGTTGGTGCTTTCTTTTGTTGTTGTTGTAGTGTCTGTTGTGGTGCTTTCTGTAGTTGTCATTTCCATTGTTGTACTGTCTGAAGTTGTAGTACGTGGGGTGGTTCTTTCAGTTGTTGTAGTCTTTGTGATAGTACTTTCTGGAGAGGTGGTGCCTTCTGTTGTTGTAATCTCAGTTGTGGTTCCGGTGGTCGTACTTTCTATTGTTGTGGTCTCTGCTGTTGTCCCGGGGGTGGTACTTTCTGTTGTTGGGGTGTCTGTTGTGCTTTCTTTAGTGGTTGTGGCAGTGATTGTACTTTCTGTCACTGTGGTGCTTTCTGGAGTTGTGGTACCAGTGGTGGTGCTTTCTGTTGTTGTGGTCTTTGGGGTAGTACTTTCTGGAATGGTGGTGCCTTCTGTTGTTTTGATCTTAGTTGTGGTGTCTGTGGTGGTGCTTTCTGTTGTTGTGGTCTTTGGGGTAGTACTTTCTGGAATGGTGGTGCCTTCTGTTGTTTTGATCTCAGTTGTGGTGTCTGTGGTGGTACTTTCTATTGTTGTGGTTTCAGTTGTTGTACTCGCTGAAGTGGTTTTGCCAGTAGTTGTACTTCCTGTCATTGTGTTGCTTTCTGGAGTTGTGGTCTTTGTTGTGTTTTCTGGTGTTGTGGCACCAATGGTGGTGCTTTCTGTTGTTGTAGTGTCTTTTGTGGTGCTTTTTGTTGGTGTGGTCTCCATTGTTGTACTTTCTGAAGTTGTGAAGCTAGTGGCAGTGTTTTCTATTGTTGTGGTGTCTGTGGCAGTACTTTCTGGAGTGGTGTTGCTTTCTGTTGTTGTGATCTTGTTTGTGGTGCCTGTGCTGGTACTTCCTGTTGTTGTGATACTTTCTGTACTTGTGGTCTCTGGTGTTGTACTTTCTGGTTTTGTTGAATCGATGGTGGTACTTTCTGTCATTGAGCTTTCTGTTGTTATGAGCGCTGCTGGTGTACTGTCTGGAGTTTTGGTCATGGTCGTGGCCCTTTCTGTTGTTGTAGTTTTCTTTGTGGTGCTTTCCGGATTTGTTATGCTAGTTGTAGTGCTTTCTGTTGTTGAGGTTTCTGTAGTATCACTTTCTGGAGTGGTGGTACCAGTGGTTTTACTTTCTGTTGCTGTGGTGCTTTTGGTTGTTGTGTTTTCTGTTGTTGTGGTGCCTGTGTTGGTGCTTTCAGTTTTTGTAATGTCCATTGTGGTCTCAGTGGTAGTTCTTTGTAGTGGTACTGGATTGGTTGTGCCAGTTGTGATGCTTTCTGTAATTGTGGTTGTTTCTACTGTTGCAGGCTCCGTTGTTGTACTTTCTGGAGTTGCGGTACCAGTGGTGGTACTTTCTGTTGTTGTAGTTTCCATTGTTTTACTTTCTGTTGTTGTGATGGTGTTTTCTGTTGTTGTGATCTTTGCTGTTGTACTTTCTGGAGTTGTGGTTGTTTCTACTGGTGTGGGCTTCATTATTGTACTTTCGGGAATTGTGGTGGCAGTGGTCGTACTTTCTGTCATTGTGCTTTCTTTTGTTGTACTTTCTGGGGTTGTGGTTTCGGTGATGTTACTTCTTGTATTGTCTGTTGTGGTGCCAGTGGTGGTGATTTGTGTTATTGTGGTGGATCCTATTGTTTTGGTCGCTGTTGTGGTGCCTTCTGGATTGGTGATACCAGTAGTCATACCTTCTGTCATCGTGGCTTCCATTGTGGTACTTTCTGGAGTTTTGGTGCTCTCTGTTTTTTTAATCTCAGATGTGGTGCTGGCTGTTGTCGTGGTGCCTGTGGTGGTACTTTCTGTTGTTGTAATGCTGGTTACTTTGTTTTCTGTAGTTGTGTTCTCATTTGTGGAACTTTCTGGAGTTGCAGTGCCAGTGGTGGTGCTTTCTGTTGTTGTGGTGGTTTCTATTGATGTGGTGTCTTTTGTGGAACTTTCTGGAGCTATGGTGCTGCGGTCTGTTGTTTTTGGTTCTGTATGTGGTGCTGGCTGTTGTCGTGGTGCCTGTGGTGGTACTTTCTGTTGTTGTAATGCTGGTTACTTTGTTTTCTGTAGTTGTGTTCTCATTTGTGGAACTTTCTGGAGTTGCAGTGCCAGTGGTGGTGCTTTCTGTTGTTGTGGTGGTTTCTATTGATGTGGTGTCTTTTGTGGAACTTTCTGGAGCTATGGTGCTGCGGTCTGTTGTTTTTGGTTCTGTGGTAGTACTTTCTGCATTCCCAGTGACCATGATTGTAGTTTCTATGAATGTTGTTTTCATATTTGAGGTTGTTTCTATCATTGTAGTAGTATAGGAAATGTTGTTCTTCCCAATATCTGAAAAATAATAATAATCATAATAATATATATAAATTGAATATATTGTTCAATAACATTTATTTTTTCTCCTAAAACAAACTGCAGTATCCTTATCTAAGTGGCAGTCACAATGTACACTGTTTGGATGAAACAATGCATGTTTTTCTTTCTTTTACATTTTTTACATATTTGATAGTATTTTTTAAGCAAACATATTCAACCTGTAAAATGTATCCTTTTGTTACTTTTCCATAATGCATAGAAAATAGAAAATATTCCAACATAATTTGTTGACAGCTTGGTGATACTGTTTTTTTTTTCTGATTTCCATGTCAAACTAGTTCAATGGGAAGCAGTAATTGCAAATACATCAATTTATCTCTCCATAGTAATAAATCCTACAGATTCCAACTTAGCACAATACATTACCAGTAAAGTCCAAGTTTGTAGTGGCTGTTGTTGAGGTTTTCTTTGGTGTGACAGTAGTATAGGTAGTGTTTATGTTCGCTACATCTGAAAAAAAAATATTAATCAATTTTTACATTAACAAAGATCTAATTATGATTCAGGTAAACAAAGGTAAAATGTAAATATATTTACCTGCGCAGTATGCCAAAGAGCAAAAAGCTGGTTTCACAAACTCATAAACAAAATAATTGCCTGGACAGGCTTTGACTTTAATGGGATTGGATTGGAAATAGCAGCAGTTATTGTCCCAGTGACCGCAGACATCTCGAGTGACCACTCCATCCTCAACTGTTGGATGTCCTCCGTTCAGCCACAGTGGAGCATGAGTGCTGCAGCTATACTCATCAACACATGTGTCTGGCATCTGAACGCTCTGACCCTGAATGAAGAGACGGTACCAGCCATCCCAGCTAACCTCACAGTCACACATTATTTCAGAGGTATATTGATTGTTGGTGGCTCTCCATGGATCACCTAGTACATTGTAGTCGTAGCAGGGGTCAACAGGAGGAACTGCTGTGAAGAAAACAAATAAATTATGTTTTTGCAAAAGTTTATTTTCACATGTTTTATATACTTTTTTACTGTCGGATAGTTGTAGTATAAAATCATAATTTTCAAAGCTTAAAAATCCATTTTTGAGTCTGATCATCTCTTTTTATTTGTGTCAAAAGGGCATAAGCAGCAAACCTGGAGTTTATAATTGAAAGATGATTACTATTAGTTTAACTTTGGCAAGAATGCTTTCAATGCTCCTTATTTGTTATAACTGATTTGAGTAAGCTGGTCTGTAAGCCTATTTGCCTTTTTTAACCATTCACAGAGTGCATACATTAGTCATAAAGTTTTCATTGTTTTCCAACACTGAACTAAAGAAGGATATTTTTTCTTGACACTGATCAACAGACAAAGAAAAACTGTCAAATTGTATTGGTCAATATGTATTGCAAATATCAAACACAAAATAATTGATTTCATCTATATTTACCCCATTTGAGTCTGTATTAAGTAGGTGAACCATTAACAATATTACAGCTTTGTGTGGGTAGGTTGTATGGAGATTGGGAGTTGACTGACTTTTTAAGACCATGCATGAATTCTACTGTAGGTTGACTTTGAGATCTAACCTCTGAGTTGGTCACTCCAGAATATTAATATTGTTGTTTTTTCTCACCAGCCATTTCTGTGTTGGTTTTTTCAATGCCTTGTCATGCCTTGTGTGCTTTTAAATTAGTTTTAGCAAAGCTGCAAGGTTCTTTTTTCTTCATTATGTAAACAGTGCCAAAATACTGACTCAACAGTTACAATCAGATGAAACTCCCTGACTACGCACAGATGTTCTCTAATACTTAATATTTATGTGACTGAAACTAATCAGCTTCACCAGTCAGTGAAGAATGAAGTGTCATATTAAATATGAATACTGATGAAAGTTTAGTTTTGATTTTATGTTTGGAATTAAAAAAAAAAAAAAACATGTTGTAGAGATACGTTTTCACTTTAAGATTTGACCCTTATTCTGTTGATCAGTGGCAAAAAAAAAAAAAAATGAAGTCCACTGTGATTCAATGCTGCAAAACAAGTGTGAGAAATGAT